ATTTAAAGTTAAGTAAAATGAGCATTTAAACGGGTGAATCTTAGAGTTTATTCAGAGCGTGTTTTTGTTAGCCAGCACACGTTACGAGTCTGTCCTTGCTGTTACGCGAAGTAGCTGATACGCCTTTTGGGCCATTTAAATAGTTATCACGTCGAGAAAATTCTCGAGTCAACCTAGTTAGACTTAACTTAAGCGCTACTCCAGCACTACTCTTTAGCTTTGAATTTATTGCGGAACGATTCTTAAGTTCCATCGCAAGTTGTCGGCGTTTTTGTAAGCACAAAGTACGTGCCTTTTCTGTTCAGAGTTTCAATAATAATTAAAGGGTTATTTTTACTCTTCTTCAATGCTGATATTCTTTACGCCTATGCGAGAAGTCGCCAATTTCCTTAGTAGGATATGTGGCCTACTAAGGAGTGTAGTAGGATCTGTTGCCTACTACTACTACCTTCATTGGTGTTTATGTGGCCAAAGAGAATACGATCCTAGAAATTGATACAAAATTGAAAGTTGGTGAAAACCGTAGCCTCTTGTGAATCTCTGCAATCTTCTTCATATGTAGTGGCTCAGATCTCTTTTCGGACACTAGTATTTTTGAAAGGTGTTTGCATGGATGTTGTACTAAATACTGAAACATTGACTCTAAATGTTTTTCTTATGAATTATTTTTTCCTCTATTTTAAAACTCGCTTGTTTCAAAATACATATCACCAAATTACAGAACACTAGATGGTATAAACATCTTGAAGAGCAATAACTCATACATGGAGCAATGCTTCTACCTCAAGGGGCGATTCACGGGAGGGCAGTCCTTGCGGTCAACCCCGGGCGAGAAAGAACTTACAACCAAACACCATCAATATAGGCCATCAATATAGAGACACCGATAACGTCAAACCAATAGGAGAGAAACCCCCCTCTCCCGAGGACTACATTTCAAAACCAAATACATAACAAATCACACAGCCCGAAACAGAATTTACAGTAGCCATACAGCTCCTGCCGAACCTGCTTGGACCACCAAATAATCGGTGGCTCTAATCCTTTGAAAACAATTTTTACACCCCAGTGTCCATTCAGTCTAAGCACATAGCTTATTATTTAAACAGAGACTTTATCAGAATTTTATGTTTATTACTTATTTTACCTTTATTTGTTGAATTCATGTTTTACTGCACTTTTAGATTTACTGAACTAAGGCATACACTATTACGCTAGTTCATGTACCACGTGATATAGAGTTCTACTCAAAACGTTCATTACTGGACTTTATCTGCTGAAACGGACTTGTAATCTTCTTACTGCAACTGAAACCTCACAACCAATAGGACGCCTCCACACCTCTCACGTGACAAATTTAAATCATATACACTGCTTTCGTATGCATTTACTTATTAGGTTCATTAAATGGTGCTATTTACATTTATATTGCATTTACCTTATGATACATTCACATTACATTACCTTCACGTCTAAAAATAAATACTTATAGAGGGCACATGCTATGCACATTGTTTACTGATTGCCTATGTGCACAACCTTTACAGATTCATTACTTGTGTTGTTTACATTAATATTACATTTGCATTACATTGAAATTATGTTACTTTCATAATTAAGATATTTATAACACATACACAGCTTTCATAGGCATTTACTTATTTAGTTCATTAGTGGTGTTATTTACATTTATATTGCATTTATTTTATGATACATTTACTTTGCATTATCTCCACATCTAAAACATAAACACTTAACGAGGGCACATGCTATGCACATTGTTTACTGATTATCTATGTGCACCAATTTTACAAATTCATTACATGGTGTTATTTACATTAGCATTACATTTGCATTACTATGAAATTATGTTACTTTCATAATTAAGACATTTATAACATATACACTGCTTTCGTTTGCATTTACTTCTTGAGTTCATTACATGGTGCTATTTACATTTATATTGCATTTACCTTATGTTACATTTACATTGCATTATCTTCACATCTAGAACATAAACACTTAAAGAGGGTACATGCTATGCACATTGTTTACTGGTGCTCTATGTGCACCACCTTCACAATTTCATTCATTACTTGGTGTTGTTTGCATTTATATTACATTTGTGTTACATTGAAATTATGTTACTTTCATAATTAAGACTTTGTAACATATACACAACTTTCGTATGCATTTACTTATTATGTTCATTAAATGGTGCTATTTACATTTATATTGCATTTACCTTATGATACATTTACATTGCATTATCTTCACGTCTAAAACATAAACGCTTAAGGAGTGCACATGCTATTCACATTTTTTACTAATTCTCTATGTGCATTAATATTATAATACATACTGTGCACATTATTATTACTTTTGCGTTACACTGAATTTATGTTACTTTCATAATTAAGACACTTATAAGATATACACTGCTTTCGTATGCATTTACTTATTAAGTTCATAATGCTTATTATGTTCATTACTTATTAAGGTCATTATCCTATTTTACGTATTACAGTACATTGCATGGTGCAGCTTGCATTTTATTATATTTACTTTATATTACCATCGTACTCATGGTAAATGCTGATACACTTGGTGTAGATATTACGTGCAGTTATATTACAGGTAGAGTGAAAAATCTAAGGATGGCACAGGTCTGTGTTTAAGTCAGACAGTTTGTCCATCAGTTGCACTATCTTTTTAATTAGGTGCCGCTGTTTTATCATGTACTTACAAAAGGTTTGACGGTTCGTCTGTGGTAGATTGATGTGCAGCCCTTCTGTAAGTGGGCAAGATGTAAGATAGTGCTCTGGTGAGCCATTTTCTCCGCACGCACATTGGCTTGTGTGGCTGATGCCGCGTTTGTGGAAGTATTCCGGGAAAGGTCCGTGTCCGGATATAAATCTTACCAGCTGTGTGTTGGCAGTGTTTCTGCTGGGATCCACGTAGCTGATAAAGTAGTGCGTGCGCCTCCCGGTGGCGCTGGTGTCCCATTCACTTTGCCATAAACCGGTGGCCTTTAAGCGAAGTGTCTTTTTGAGAAACGAGTGGGGCCATGGAATGGTTATTTGCGTACTGGATGGATCTGTCGTTGCCTCCTTGGCGAGTTGATCAGCTAGCTCATTGCCTTGGTGGCCGGCATGAGCTTTGATCCATTCCAGTTTCGTGCGATAAGGAAAGTTTTCCCTGAGGTTCTTTTGTATGCCCTGTATGATGTCTGATGGGTGGTCCGGGTTCCATATGGCATACAGCGATGATAGACTATCAGTTTTGATGGTAGCATGGCTGTGCTGATTGTGTGTGCAGGTAGCGAATTGCTTTTGCGATTGCTACCGCTTCGCTCTGGAAGACGCTGTTATTCTGTCTGAGTTGACCTTTCCATTGCTCGTTTACTGTGTCGTGCGTCATGGCTACATATGCGCATCCTACCTTTTCATCTATTCTTGACCCGTCCGTGTAGATGATAAATTCTCCGGGACGATGGGTTGTAGTAGGATTAATAGTGATAAAAACTCCCTTGCCCTTCACTGCTGGGTGGATGTTGAGTGGGCAGATATTCGTTTCATAGTCTTCAGGGTAGTAAGTCTCTTCATCGAAAGTGACTGCTCTTTTGAGCTGTAGGACGTGTTGACGTGCTGCCTCTTCTTCGACACGAATGTGCAGAGGAAGGAGGCCGGCGAGCACGTTAATGGCATCAGTTGAAGTGGTGCGATATGCTCTGGTGATTCCCAATGCAAAGGGTCTTTGGATAGTGTTGAGATGCCTGACTTTCCTGCCTTGCATTGGGTGTGCCCATACTGCGGCGGCATATGTTACTATTTTCTCAACTACAGTTGTATAGAGTACTTTTTGGATATGCGGGTTAAGGCCCCATTTATATCCGTAGAAGAGTCTCATCTGCTTAGCAATTGCTGTTGTCCGTATTTTTACATCCTGAATGTGGGGGATCCATGTCATTTTATGATCGAACGTAACTCCTAGGTACTTTAGCTGATTTACTATCTTCAGACGTTGGTTATTAATTTTGATGGTGGGGCGTCTTACTAGTGAGCCTCCCTTTTTCGGAATTAGTAAGACTTTGGACTTATGCTCAGCTATTGTTAGTTTCAGTTTTTCACAGTGTTCATGGAAAAATTCACACACTTCGTTGCAGTTTCGTTGTAACTCGTCCCGTGTGTTTCCCCTTACAATCAGTGCCCCGTTGTCTGCATATGCAAAGATCTTAGTGTGCGCCGGCCACGTCGCTGTCAGAACTTCATTGAACGTCAAGTTCCATAGGTGTGGCCCGGCGCACGATCCTTGTGGGCATCCTCTGGTTTGCACTTTCTCTATGATATCTGCATTGTGCACAGCCAAGAGCTTCCTGTCCTGCAGGTAGTTGCAGATAATGTTATAAATATTGCTTGGGCATTTTGTTTTACGTAGAGCCTGCCTGATGGCTGGCCACCACAGCGTATCAAATGCATTCTTGAGGTCTATGCTGACCATTGCTGTGTGGTAGCCGTTATATCGATTTGCCAGTATCGCCTCCTTGATGTCATATAGGGCATAAGCATATGAGGAGCTCACTGTGGAGGAGCCCGTTCTAAAACCGTATTGGCTGGGGCTTAGGTATTTGTGGATGTGCAAATGATGGCGTAGTCTGTTCATGACTAGTTTCTCTAGAACTTTCCCCATTGCCGAGATAGTAGGCAGATAGGTCTGAAGGAGGAGGCTTCTGCCGGGTTTCTATTTTTCTTCAGAAAGAGAATCACCTGCCCTATTTTGTAGGGCGTGGGAAATAGTCCCTGTGACAGTAGTTTATTGAAGTAACTGACAAAGAAAGTTGGGTGGGCCTTTATCGTGGCTTTTACTATGGCATAGTCCATCCCGTCTGGGCCGGGAGCCTTCTTGCGTGGCAGACTTGCCAGAACTCTTTGAAGTTCTTGGAGCGTAAAGTCTGGGTCTGCTTCTGTGTCCAAGGTATTTATCTCTGCACGGAGAATGGCTTATTGTGCAGTATCCTGAGCTGCATCATCTTGACTGAATACGGTGTTTAAAACTGCATTTAAGGTATCGGCCGTGTAGTCTTCATTGCTGCATTGTGAGTGCGGGATTTGTAGCTGAGATGGCTTGAAGACCTTCCCAGTCGCTATTTTATGGTGCAGCCCATAGATTTCTTTCGTGTGTGTACAATATTCTCTCCATGAGGTTACTTTGGCCTGGATTATCATCTTTTTATATTTCGCACGTTCCCTTTGGAAGATAGGGAGTGTGGTTGATGGAATCTCCAGTCTTCTCTCATATTTTAGTCTTCGTCGTAGTGCTCTGCACTTGCGCTGCTGAGTTCGTAATGCTCCTGTCCACCAGCTGATTTCCTGCACCCTCTGAGGTTTCCTAGAAGGGAGATTTTGATTGCAGACAGTTTGCAAGGTATCTTGCAGCTTTAGGGAGAAGTCCTCCAGTTCTGGTAAGGTGACCGCTTGCTGTAGTGTGGCCTCAAGATTCGTAAGGTGCATTTTAATTTTCTTAGTGAAGCTGAGTAATTTCCTGCCAGGGAGATTATAACGTTTTATCTTAGTGACGGATGTCGTCTGTGAGAGGGAGAAGGTTATGAATTTATGGTCACTAAGGCTTTCTTGGTCGTCTACTTGCCAGTCTTGGAGTAATGGGGCTACATGCATGGTCGTCAGTATGAGGTCAGGCCATCCCTGCGCGTAGACGCTGTCGAAGGTGGGTGGCGCTTTAGCTGTGTTGTGTAACACCAAATTTTTAGAGCAGATGAAGTCTTCCAATTCTCTTCCTTTTTGGTCCGTAGTGTGATAACCCCAGGTTGTATTATGGGAGTTAATGTCACCCCCGAAGATCATGTTGGGGATCTTGAATTGATCTAAAACTCGTTCCATAAATCTGGTCGTAGGTCCAATTTCCATCGTCGGTGGTGAGTAGCTTGTTACTATGGAAGTGAGTAGCTTATTACTATGGAAAGTGAGTGAACTTCTAGTAACACTGCTACATTGTCCTGCTCAGTTGCAATGATAATCGGCGTCCATTCTGGTTTACAGCATATTATGATTGCTCTTGGTGGATTGTCTTTGTCTGCCTTTTGGAACACTGTCCATTTTACTAGAAGCCAACGGCTATCCCCTCTCTGTTATAAGGCTCTTGGCCAAGAATAAAGTGTATGTTGTTATCTATTGCGTATTGGATTATCTGTGCAACTGCTGCTCTGGCACGCTGCATGTTTATTTGCAGAAATTTTACTGATGTTTCGTCGGCGGTGATCTCCCTATTTATGAGCACACTAAGACAAGAGAACCGGTCAAAAGCTTGCTTATATGCAAGCTAGGCTCGTTATGTAGAAGAAACTGTATAAGCTATTGTTACGAAATGTACAGGCGCGGTAAGATAGCTTCCCCACAAAGCAGGTTTAGGGTTGCCATAAAATGGCAAGGGAAGGAAGAGTTGCCACATTTGGCGAGAAATGGCCCATTTGGCGATAAAATTGGCGATATGCCGTGGACGGATGGAGAACCTTTTTGAACGAAGTCTTACCGGTTTAGCCCAGAATGTTCTCGAACACCAGCCGAAAGCTATATAAACCCTGCTGGTCCGCAGTCAGTTAGAGTGTCTCGTCTAGAGTGCGAGATAGTTAGTCAGTCCGTACGGAGTCGATCGAGGTGACAGCTGGGCAGCGAGTGCCGAGTGGGTCGTCGAGTGCTTCGAAAGAGTCTTTTATTGCATCGTCGAGAGAGCATGTTGAACGACTGAACCGAAGACTGCTGTAACGTGATTTTGGATCTGTCCTGATTAGTACTGGTTAAATAAAATGTGTTTCGATACTTCATCAAGTGCCGTCGTCGTTATTCACTCCAAATTCACACGAACCCCGTACGAATGGGAAGGAAGAAAATAACGTAACAACTGGTGTCTGGAAAAAACGTAACAGTATTTCTCCCGCTTTTCTAGCGTGCTTTCTTCGTGTAGTGGTTCTGCACGCTGATCCGGTATTCCAGAGGTCCATGGTTCGATTCCCCGCAAAGGTGATTGCTCATTTTTCATCTTGCCTACTTCCCCAAATCCTAATGTTTCTACAATGGCGCCCGAACTAAAAGGGTGTTGGATGATGATTCTCCTCGCCCAGGATTTGGCGATTGGGTCCCGTAAAAACCTCAGTCGCCTTTTAAAAGGGGGAGTATATAAGATATTTCCCCCGCTTTCTTAGCGTGCCTTCGTGGTGTAGTGGTTCTGCACGCTGGGCGCGTATTCCAGAGGTCCGTGGGTCGATTCCCGGCGAAGGCGTTTGCTCATTTTTCATTTTGCCTGCTTCCAAAAAATAATCCTAATGTCTCTACAACTGGAAACTGGAACAGTCTAAGCACAGATCTTTGCCAGCAAGCTGAGTGTTCACCTTCTCATGCGATCCCCTGGAGGAAATTATCAAAATACAGTAAACCCTTCTCGAAGGCGTACTTTTGAAACGCAATTTTGCGTGTCCAGTTTTACATTGTCTTAAAATAAAAGACTCTATTTAATTTCCTCAACGCGAGAATTTCATTTATACGCGGTACGTTGCAGAGGGTTGGCCTCTTTGCAATAGTACTTTTCATGAAAACTCATTCATTAAAGAAATCAAGCTGTATTTAAAACAGCAAAACCTGAGCTTTAAAGTTCTCCTAATTCTCAGTAGTACTCCAGGACACAGCACCGAAGCCCTCACAACACTGCAGCTAAATGTAGGTGGGGTTTATTCCTTCCACCGAACACCGGTTCCTTAAGGATCCTTAATCCAACCAATGGATTAAGGAACCATAAAAACATTCAAAGTCTATATTATGTGAGGCATATTTACATCTTCATAAGTAAAACAAAATCGAAGAGCAAAATCACTATGTACTAATGATATTTTGGAAGCAATTTAACAGACGACACTGCATGGAAATGATTAAATTCCCATGGGAACAAGTAAATTGATCAACAGTGAGTACTTGCTGGCATCAGCGTCTGTCAGAAATTGACAACAATGTTAAAAGATTTCTATCGATTGAAAGTGAAGACAAGGAAATCGTAAAAATTACAAAAGCTATAGGTGGAGAAGGATTTTCAGATATGGAAAAAAGAGAATTCGAGGAATTAATCAAGAATGATGATCATAAAATGACAAATGACGATTTGGATGATTTTATAATACGAACCGACTGCAGAAACAGTGATAGTGATAAAGGTAAAGAGCCTTTATCGTAAGAGAAGTTAAATAAATTGTTGAATAAAGCACAGGAATTGTCTGATTTTGTAATAGAGATTGACCCAAATGAAGAAAGAAGAGGATACTTTTTGAGAGGCGTTGAGAAACCTTACCATGAAACGTTTAAGGAGTTGCGTGAGACATTGTCCCAAGCAAACGTTAAAAGGTATTTCTCCCACTTCCCTAGCGTGCCTTCATGGTGTAACGGTAGCACGCTGGGCCGGTATTCCGGAGGTCCGTGGTTCGATTCCCGGCGAAGGCGGTTGTTAATTTTTCATCTTTCCTGCTTCCAATTAACCTGATGACCCTACAACGTCACCAGCTATTTAGAAAAACAGAGGCATCATGCCTTCACTTATTAAGCAGTAATCGAAGTCCTTTCAATTAACATTTGTTTCGTTTCTCCCTTTAATACTGTTACGAACTTTGTATTTAGTTAGATATTTTTAAGATAATTATAATTAAAACTCTTGTGTTCCTCACGCAATGCAGCGCGAGATACATTTTAAAAGAAAGCTACGCAGGAAAAGTACAAATATAGGATCAAGGTTATTTATGTTCTCTATTGTGTTGATGATTAGCGCTTTAGAGTATGCGCCAAGAGGAAAGGAGCAGTTGCGTCTATCAACCTTTTATCAAGCTCATTCATGTTCGCTCTTCTCTCTTGTCTGGACGACCTCTTGGTTTCCTAGGCGCCTAGTTGGCAGAAGTATCTTGTAACGATGACCTTGCTAGTTTCGTATGTGTCAACAGTGAAGAAGCATTTATGGTTATCTTCCTTTATCGAGTTTATTGATATTCCTACGTGTCTCTTGTAATGACGACCTGTTGGTTTCGTAGTTCTTCAGCAGAAGATGGAAAGTGAAGACTCGAGTACAGGCTCTAATTCAGAAGCCGAGTTTTCTCCCAAGATAGGGAAAAAACAGAGAGAATCTGCAATATTATGAAAGTTTTATGTGCAAGTGAATATTAGTTAGGGCCTGATTGTAAGTGCGCAATTTTTCAATGTTTTTCTTGGATACGTGATCATGAAAAACAACGAATTCTCAAAGCTTATTATGAACCTGGGAATTATAATATATAAAATTATTATCTTGCCGATTTCGCCTGCGATGCGCCGACATTCTAGTTTGAGAAATGAGATACTCACACCGTGCGTCTTACTCGGTGTTCTCCGAAAATATCGACGGATAAAATCGCAAAAATATCTTGGATGGAAAGGTCGCTGAGAAAACAAAGCAAGGCGAAAACGTCGTTGTATAAAACATCGTGGGAGAAAAGAGAGCAGTTCTAAAACATCGTGGTAGAAAAGAAGCGGTTCAACAGCTTCACAGTTTAAAAACAACGTTGCGAAAATATCGTGGTAAAAAATAAAGTATCTGTAAATCATCGTATGAGAATAACATCACACGCATGCGTGTTTCAGCTTTTAAAAGTTATAAGTGCGTTTTCGAATAATGATCTGGGAGAGTAAGCACACATGAAATAGAGATATTTTTATTTCTTTATTTCATACTTTTGAAAGAACGAATAAATTTTTGCTGAAAAAATAAGAAAATTTAAGCATTTAAAAATTAAAAATGAGCAGAAAATTAATACAACGTATAGGACTTAATAAAATTTTTAATTTACATAGTTAATTAACAAAGGTTATTAATAAATTAATCTTTTTTTATAAAGTTTTACTGATAATTTTTCATGAAAAATACAGTCTAAAACTGCTTAGAAAAAGGATGATAAATAACTGCATGAGAATCTAAAATCTAAAATCATTATGCGAATATGCATTTACAACTTTTAAAACCTAAAAGACGCATGTCATGCGATGATTTGTAGGTACTTTATTTTTAACACGCTATTTTTGATGACGATGTTTGTAAATTGCAAAGTTTTTGAACCGCTTTATTTTCGACTACAGTATTTTGTAACACAATGTTTTAGAACTGCGATGTTTTCTCTTTGCTTTCTTTTTCTCCCACGATGTTTTGTACCGCGACGTTTTCGTCTTGCGTTGTTTTCTCCTTGCCGTTTTCGCCCGCGACTGTAACCGACTGGTTACCCTTATTGAGCATGTTGTTTCCAAGACGACCAACGTAATGGTCTGCAAGTTTGTGTAAACGCCTTTGCTTCATTCGCGACATTACAAACAAATGTGATTAAAAGAATCAGAGAAGCTTTGACATTGACTTAAAAGCACCGGTAGATCGCAAAGGAATGCATATAAACAGAAAACATGCAATTCCTGAAGAAACTTTCTAAAATAATAGAGTGATCTCTTTCTAAAATAATAGAGTTCAAGGTCAGGAAAATCTCATTATTACTTAAAAAGAGAAATAAAATACATCTGCCGCAAAAGATTTAAGCATCACAAAATTACACGACATGTACAAAACGAACAATAAGAAAAATGTCGTGTGATAAATTGAAAGATATTTTAATTTCAACATCGGATTCGGTAACCAACAAAAGATATTAGCAGTCTTTGTGATTTATTAGAAGCAGAGAGTGATATGCTCATCAAAATATCCGGAAAACGTGCTGAAGAACAAGAAAATGCAGAACGGATTCAAGATCCGAAAATCAAGTCGCACAAAACGAACAGCATTGGAGGAAGAGCCAATTAGATACCAAGAAGCTAAGTGTTCTCATAATTAGCAGAAGAAGCTGAGGATAAGATGTTTACTCACC